GAGCAGGAGAAAATAAGCTTGCTCCATCTTCCATGTGACAGCCCTTGAGATATCTGAAGGTGACTATCATATTTCCTCTCAGTCTCCTCTTTTCCAGGCTAAACATACTCAGCTCCCTCAACCATTCCTCATCAGGCTTGGTTTCCAAAACCTTGTTCATTTTGGTCGCCCTTCTCTGCACATTTACCTTGAAAGCAGCCTGTTTGTTGCAGCTGGGAAACCACTGGAAATACAGGCAGGTTGGGAATGCGTTTATGACATTTCACTGAAGATACTTCCCATTGCCATTGTCCAACCTTGCTTTGCCCCATCCTCATTTGCCTCTATTGGCTGTGGTGACCCGCATGCTTTTGCTGGTGATGCAGTTCCACCAGGGCTGATGAAGTCACAGACTTGTGCTCTGGCTACCAATCTGATTAAAAAGAACGTTTAAGAAGAACTTGGCCAGTGGCTCATCTAATCCAGCAACCTGTTCTTACAGCAGCCAACCAGATGCCTGTGAGAAACCCCCCAAGCAGGACAATGACACTTCTCTCTCCTGTAGCTCCCAGCAAATGGACTTCAGAAATATCACTGCCTCTGACCATAGAGGCAGAACGTCGCAAACTTCCCTGTGATCCTCGTATGAAGAGCGGTATAAATACAACATAATGAATAAACATAGCCATTGTGGCTACTAGCTACCATGGTAGCCATTGTGGCTACCATGACTGTTGGTGATGAACAAGGGCTAGGATGACACGAGGGTGCTTCACAGAAGCTCAATGGTAGAGTACAGATCTTGGATGCAGAAGGTTCCATGTTCAAACCCTCACATCTGGATAGCTGAGTTGGTTAAAGCATGGTGTTGAGGGTGCCAAGGTTGCAGGTCCAATCCCCTTCTGGGACAGCTGCACACCAGTGGGGTGTAGTGGTTAAGAGCGGTAGACTCGTAATCTGGTGAACCAGGTTCACTTCCCCGCTCCTCCACATGCAGCTGCTGGGTGACCTTGGGCTAGTCACACTTCTGTGGAGTCTCTCAGCCCCACTCACCTCACAGAGTGTTTGTTGTGGGGGAGGAAGGGAAAGGAGAATGCTAGCTGCTTTGCGACTCCTTTGGGTAGTGATAAAGAGGGATATCAAATCCAAACTCTCCTCCTCCTCCTCCTCCTCCTCCTCTTCTTCTTCTTCTTCTTCTTCTTCTTCTTCTTCTTCTGCCTACATTGCAAGGAGTTGGACCAGATAATCCTCAGGGTCCCTTCCAATTCTCCAACTCTATGATCTTCAAGCAGGGTTGGGGAAGTGTCCCGCCTGAAAGCATGGAAAGCTACTGTGGCAGTATAGAGCAGGGGTAGTCAACATGGGTCCCTCCAGATGGTGTGGACTCCAATTCTCATCATCCCCAAACCATAAAGCCATTGGTAGAGCATGATGGGAGTTGTAGTTCACACCATCTGGAGAGTACCACACTGGCTATCCTGTTACAGACAGTTCTGTGATGGATGGACCAATGACTTGGTATAAGGTTGTCTCTTGTTTCCCACATTCTACTTCAGCCCAAAAATGTTGCCCCTGTTTGCACAGAGCTAAATTTTGATTCTTATGCTTTCAATACTGACATGGTTTTGCTGGTGAATTAATGTGTTTCCCCCAAGTACAAGTTGGCTTGATCTGTGACACATGGGCCATTAAAATTGCATTTGAGGTTAACAGCAGAAGGGGAAAACAAAGTCCAGTTGAATAATACATAAAGAATTGCTCCAATTAGACATACATTTAAATAATATAAATATACGTCATTATGATATCCTGTGAATTATAAATTATGATTTCCATATTTCCCCAATTATTGTAAGGGGAAGCAAACAAACCCCAGGTCATGACTTCCTGATTAGTGCAAACCACCGACACCCTTCTGCACCCACTGTAGCTAGGGGCTTAAGGACATTGGGGTCATGTGATTGCATCAGCCAATCAAGCTTTGAGATCTTTGATTTGATGGATTGATGCAGGCATGTTCGCTCTCCCTCTTTCTGCGACGCATCGGTTGGCCTTTAATAGCCACAGTTCATTTGAATTACTTGTGAGGCTTTCTGTGTTAACTTCTCCACTTGCAGCTAAAGTTGGACTCTTTTGGAAGCATTCAGGGACATCAATCCTGGGGTGTCCAGGAGGCACCTCGGCACTAATGAACAGCTCAATCTACAGATATTTCCACCACACCTGCAGGGGTAGATGGCTCTGTCTAGTTCAGTCCCCCATTTCTCCAATCTCAAACTCAGTTCGTCATTTTTTTTAATATACAATTTTCTTTTATATTTCTTTCATGCTGGCTTTAATGTATGTATGTGTTTGCTTTGTGCTTAAAATGTTGTAAGTTGCATTGACTTGTCATTAAAAAAACAACAACACACCAATCTGTAAATTAAATTTGTAAGAGCATAAGAAGAGCCTGCTGGCCCATTGAGTCGAGCATCCGGTTCTCACAATGACCAATCAGATGCTTGCAGGTTTCCCACAAGGCCCTCCCCTCCAGTTTCTAGCAACTGTCATTCAGAAGCATAATGCCTCTGTCAGTGGGGGTAGAACATGCAATTCCCCCTAATATACACATTTTTGCAAAAACCACCCCCCTAATGCATTGCTTTTTTTGTATGCCATTTCCACTAATATATGCATTTTCATATGCACGTTACCCTAATATACGCATATTATTATTTTTTACACGTTGCTTGGCTGAATATTTGCATTGCAAAATTTGGAGAAGTGCAAATTTCAAATGACTGCTGTGGTTTATAGAGTGAGAATTGGGTAGATTCCTCTTTTGGTACGAACCTGAAATTTCCCTCTTCCCTAGCAGAAATGCAACCTCCTACTTCTCTCCTGAAAGCACCCTCTTCCCCAGTGTTATCTCCCTCGGAGAAAGGGCTGCAAACGAGCATTGAGAGATGGCCCAGCTCCTGACTCCGCAGAAGTACCGTGGCATTTCCTGCTGCGATGCACCAGGTTGTACCCAGCACAGAGGCAGTTCTGTGGGCCTTATCATATCTGGCAGGCCTACCCAACCTGAAACCATCTGAGCGAAGTCTCCGAAATTGTCTGAAAGTGGAGTGTCAGGAAGATGCTTGCATGGCAGATGACATCTCCTCTTGGCAGAGTTTAATAACATCCCGGCTGTTCATGCTTCATGATACAATAACAGAGGAGGGGAGGTTTCTGAGCAATATGAGACAGATACAGGACTGCAAGATGAGATGGGGAGAAAGCAGAGGGAGGGGAGGCAAGAGAGAAGGAGAGAAGGAGAGAAGGAGAAGGGGATGGAGGGAAGAAGGAGAGAAGAGGGAGAGGGAGGGATGGAGGGAAAGAGAGGAGAGAGGAGTGTACAGGAACGATCACAACCAGGACCAATGAGATATGGGGTGGAGGAGTAAGTAGATTTCTGGGGCCTGGAAGTCTGGAAGCAGCCCTGGGGCCCAAGTATCTTGCATATGTTTTATGTAATAATTAACAAAATACACACTTAGCCCTCAATGCATTGACAATTCTGAGCAACAGCTTGCCAACCTGTGCGGTGAAACTAGCAATTTCTGATTCTCTATGAACATTTGCTTCTGCTATTCTGCTGTGCGCTACAGCACAGCTTCGTCTTATGCGTGGCCACCTTTGCAGGTTTTCATCAGCGAACACCACGTGAACGCAACCGAGTTTTGCGCGATACACTTTGCGTTAGTTTAGTGTTGGAAGTGCATTGTTAGTTCTGCAATGGTTGTGTATTATTGATATCAGCCATTAGGATCTGAATACCTTCTGCAGGTATGGACATTTCAACGAGGGTGACTTGAGCTTAAGCTCTCAATCAAAGGTAAAGCTTAGTTTGTCGTGTGACTCCAGGACAGTCAGAACCACCAGCTTAACCTATGATGATTGCAGGGCTTTTGTGAAGATGGAAGGAGACAACGCCCTGACACTTGCCACCCTGAGCTGTTTGATGGAAGGATAGCATGCAGGTACAGTGGTACCTCGGGTTACATACGCTTCAGGTTACAGACTCTGCTAACCCAGAAATAGTACCTGGGGTTAAGAATTTTGATTCAGGATGAGAACAGAAATTGTGCTCCGGTGGCGCTGCGGCAGCAGGAGGCCCCATTAGCTAAAGTGATGCTTCAGGTTAAGAACAGTTTCAGATTAAGAATGGACCTCCAGAATGAATTAAGTACTGACCCGGAAACTACAACTAATCCAGAATGCAGCAGATAGACTGGTGACCGGGAGCGGCCGCTGAGACCATATAACACTGGTCTTGAAAGACCTACACTGGCTCCCAGTACGTTTCCGAGCACAGTTCAAAATGTTGGTGCTGACCTTGAAAGCCCTAAACAGCCTTGGTCCAGTATATCTGAAGGAGCGTCTCCACCTCCATCATTCTGCCCAGACACTGAGGTCCAGCACTGAGGGCCTTCTGGCAGTTTCCTCGCTGCGAGAAGCCAAGTTACAGGGAACCAGGTAGAGGGCCTTCTTGGTAGTGGCACCTGCCCTGTGGAAGCCCTCCCAGCAGATGTCAAAGAGAAAAATAACTACCAAACTTTTAGAAGACATCTGAAGGCAACCCTGTTTAGGGAAGCTTTTAATGTTTGATGTATTACAGTATTTTAATGTTTTTGGAAGCCACTGTACAATTAATGGCCCCCTGTGATTGTGAAATCAACACACTGTACAATAATGATGTGAGCAATATATGAAAATAATTTGCACATTGAAGCATTCCTCCGCATCAAAGTAAAACACTCGCTCGTCCATTTTCCTCCTTCTCTTCATTGCTTTTAAACAAACCAGTGAATAAATAAATTCCCCTATGGGGGAGGAAAGGACCTTCCCCTCCCTTCAGGCTACAGGCTAGTGATTACGGCGTTGGTTGTTCTGGCTGCCACGGTGGTAGGCTCTCAGGCTTACATGCATTTTGCAGGCCTTCTGGGAGCGCCTTTGCGAAGTGAACAAACAAGACGGCAGATGTGTGTTCACATTCCTGCACAGGGAGCCGAATCGCAAGGTCAAGCAAGAGGGGGAGAAGAAAGGGAGCCTTATCAAAGGGACAAGGGCTGTGGTGGCTCGGATTATCTCAGACAGTCCCGCATTGTCAGAAGGACTGACCTTCAGTTGAGCCACCACGCCAGACTCTTCCCTCTGTTGGCTCTTCTTATGGGGAAGATAAAAGGCCCCATCACACCTTTTCAAAAGGATTCAAGCCCTATTGTTCCTGCTTACCTTTGATTTAAACAATGTTGACAAATCCAGCTTCTAACGTCCAAGTCAAAGTGTAGGTGGACGCCAAAGAGATGCCGCTGGTATTTGTCCGTCCAGATTTCGGCTTTCTTGTTTGTGGGAGGGCATCGAGATGCTGCCATTCAAGGAGATACAAGACTTTTTGCGCTGCATTTTGGACTGGCAAAAACAGACACCTAAGGGCAACTGGTGCCTGTTTTTAGACGCAGCTCATGTCGATGCAGAGTTGGACGGCGGTTACTCAAGGACAGAGGCAACTTCACCTATCATGGCTTGGATGGACACAGAGAAACTGTTCCAACCAGGTGTGACCATATTGTCAGAACTCTTCCAGGTGAGGCTAACAATGGAATGTCTGATTCAAAAGGGGGATGATTATGATGATTACATTTCTATCCCACATTTTTCTCCAAGGAGCTCAATATGGCATACATGGTTCTCCTGCTCATTATTTAATCCAAACAACAGTCCTGTGAGATAGGTGAAGCTGAGAGGCAGTGACTGGCACAAGGCCACTCATGGCTGGGAGGGGATTCGAACCCTGGTCTCCCAGGTCCTAGCCTGACACTCTACTCAGATTCCAACTTTGAAAAGGTGGAAGAGGTCTGGGGAAATATGGAGGAGACCTGCAGAAAGTTGAGAGAGGAGAATATGACCAAGTAGGTTTCCTTGACTGACCTAAATGATCCCAGGAAAGTCAAGGCTGAAGAATTGAAGAATGGATAACCCTTTCCTCCACTCTGAGACCAGCAGGAACCCAAAAGCTTTTATGACAATTATGGTGTCAAATTGGTGTTGTTTAGAATGAACACAGACTTCCAGAGCTCACAGGACCATGATTAGAGAACTGGGCCAAAACAAACAAGATGAATTTTAACAGGGAGAAATGTAAAGTATTGCACTTGGGCAAAAAAAATATGAGAGGCACAAATACAAGATGGGGGACACCTGGCTTGAGAGCAGTACATGTGAAAAGGATCTAGGAGTCTTGGTTGACCACAAACTTGACATGAGCCAACAGTGTGACGCGGCAGCTAAAAAAGCCAATGCAATTCTGGGCCTCATCAATAGGAGTATAGCATCTAGATCAAGGGAAGTAATAGTGCCACTGTATTCTGCTCTGGTCAGACCTCACCTGGAGTACTGTGTCCAGTTCTGGGCACCACAGTTCAAGAAGGACACTGACAAACTGGAACGTGTCCAGAGGAGGGCAACCAAAATGGTCAAAGGCCTGGAAACGATGCCTTATGAGGAACGGCTAAGGGAGCTGGGCATGTTTAGCCTGGAGAAGAGGAGGCTAAGGGGGGATATGATAGCCATGTACAAATATATAAAAGGATGTCACATAGAGGAGGGAGAAAGGCTGTTTTCTGCTGCTCCAGAGAAGCGGACACGGAGCAATGGATCCAAACTACAAGAAAGAAGATTCCACCTAAACATTAGGAAGAACTTCCTGACAGTAAGAGCTGTTCGACAGTGGAATTTGCTGCCAAGGAGTGTGGTGGAGTCTCCTTCTTTGGAGGTCTTTAAGCAGAGGCTTGACAACCATATGTCAGGAGTGCTCTGATGGTGTTTCCTGCTTGGCAGGGGGTTGGACTCGATGGCCCTTGTGGTCTCTTCCAACTCTATGATTCTATGATTCTATGATTCTATGATTCAGGTTGTCTGTAATATCTCAGAAAAGGGCTACCCATGATCAAGGGCATGGATCAACTCCCCTGTGAAGAAAGATTGCAGCATTTGGGACTCTTTACTTAATGAAAAGTTGAATAAGAGGCAACATGATAGAAGCATTTATAAATGAAGCATGGTGTGAGAACATGGAAAGAGAAAAGTTATTCTTCCTCTCCCATAACATGAGAACTCGGGGAAATCCAATGAAGCTGAATGTTGGAAGATTAAGGACAGATAAAATGAAAAAAGTGCATTGTTACACTATGGAACTCCCTCCCACAGGAAGCAGTGGTTGCCACTAACCTAGGTGGCTTTAAAAGAAGACTGGGGAAGTTTGTGGAGGAGAGGGCTATTGATGGCTACTGGTCCCATCACCTCCTGGCAAATAGAAGGGGAAGAAATGGAGGCAGTGAGAGATTTTACTTTCTTGGGCTCCATGATCACTGCAGATGGTGACAGCAGCCATGAAATTAAAAGACGCCTGCTTCTTGGGAGAAAAGCAGTGACAAACCTAGACAGCATCTTAAAAAGCAGAGACATCACCTTGCCAACAAACGTCTGTATAGTTTAAGCTATGGTTTTCCCAGTAGTGATGTATGGAAGTGAGAGCTGGACCATAAAGAAGGCTGATCGCCGAAGAATTGATGCTTTTGAATTCTGGTGCTGGAGGAGACTCTGGAGAGTCCCATGGACTGCAAGAAGATCAAATGCATCCATTCTGAAGGAAATCAGCCCTGAGTGCTCACTGGAAGGACAGATCCTGAAGCTGAGGCTCCAAGACTTTGGCCACCTCATGAGAAGAGAAGACTCCCTGGAAAAGACCCTGATGTTGGGAAAGATGGAGGACACAAGGAGAAGGGGACGACAGAGGATGAGATGGTGGGACAGTGTTCTCGAAGCTACCAGCATGAGTTTGACCAAACTGCGGGAGGCAGTGGAAGACAGGAGTGCCTGGCGTGCTCTGGTCCAGGGGGTCATGAAGAGTCAGACATGACTAAATGACTAAACAAGCAAGCAAACAAACAAACATAAACAGGCATGATGGCTCAGCTATGCCTCCACAACTGGTGGCAGCAATGCAGTCCAGTTGATGAAAACCACAGAAGGAGACAATGCTCTTGTGCTGGGATCCTGCTTGTAGGTTTCCAGTGGGCATCAAGTTGGCCACTGTGAGAAGAGGATGCTGGACTAGATGGGCTACTGGCCTGATCCAGCCGGTTCTTTTTATGTCTTTATGTGTAGTGTATAATATACCCCTAGGAGCCAACTTTTTATTGTTATTTTTCTCTCTCCATCCAAGAGCTCTCCCTCTTCATTTTAACATTTCTTTTCTAGACCTTCACTGTTCGTCTTTTCACCTGCTGGAAGACAGAGAAAGGAACCTCCAAGGGGAGGAAGAAGTTCCTAACTTTCCCCTGTTAAATCTTGGGCTTCCACCTTCCCTTATTGATACCACCACAGCCAACAAGATGGGGCCTCCTTTGGTGGAGAATTGAGCTCAGCATAACAGAAGGCAGCAGCTGTCATGAAGACTCTGGTGGATTGCACCCAGCTGGAGCTGGGGACACAGCTCCTCTTGCACGAAAGATCTGTACCATTGGTAATTGATTTTATTTTTTTAATTTTTGGTGGCGGCTGATATCAGAGTCGGATCGCCTTGTTCTCCCGTGTCTCTATTTGCAAGCTGTGTATTTGTTAAACTAATTGACTCGCCGGGACTGCTGCTGCTGGTGGTACAGTTTAGGATTAAACACACAAAGGAGGGAGAAAAGGAAATGGGGGGCTTAGGCTGGTGTGTGTGTTTGTGTGTGTGTTTCTAAGCTTCCACCTGTAAATCCATATCATTGGAGGCTAACTTAAAAAGGGAAGGGATGCCCCCCTCTTACACACACCATATGCAGGTGGCTGCCTGGGAAAAGCGTTTGCCAGCGAGAGCATCTGCTTAAAAGCCTCCAAATGTTCAAGATGTTTACGAACCAGAGATAATATCTCTTCCCCTCCTGTCACTCACCTCGTCTCAGCTAAGCAGGAAAAATAAGGGAAGGAAATTGCACGGAGAAAACGAAAGGAAGTTGGCCAGGTTGCTCAAAGTCTTGTATATATTGCGGGAAATGGGATGGGGAGGTGGTGGCCAAGGGGTAAGTGCTCTGAGCAGCATGAGGCATGGATGTGAATTCAAAGCAGAGCTTCCGGCTTTGAAACTAATTCACTGCAAACAGGATCCCGGAGTTGCCTGCCTTATCAGCCCACGAAGCAACGTCCTCCTTGTAGGTTTGCTGGAGGAATTTGTGCTCTGGCAAATTCCTACACCGAACGACCTGATCGGAATCTCTTGGATGAACAAGAGGGAACTCGGCTACCCAGAGGCTTTTGCAATTCTCTGAATTTTGTAATGCTGTCCTTGGCACTGCCGGTGTATTGAGATAGGGGTTTAAATACGTACAGTGGTACCCCGGGTTACAAATGCTTCGGGTTACAAAGTAGTAACCAGAAGTAGTACCTCTGGTTATGAACTTTGCCCCAGGATGAGAACGGAAATCATGTGCCGGTGGTGCGCCAGCTATGCGCCGGCAGTGGGAGGCCCCATTAGTGAAAGCGCGCCTCAGGTTAAGAACGGTTTCGGGTTAAGAATGGAGCTCCGGAACGAATTAAGTTGGTAACCTGAGATACCACTGTATTTGGAGAGAGGATGCACATTTAAATGCATATTTTGAGAGGAAATGATGGATGTTCAAGATGCTTGAGGAATTAGAGCTTTGTGAATTCTTTGTGTACGTTCTTTGTTTCTTCAGCTTGTAAACCACCTTGAGTATTGTAAGATAGAAAGACGGTATACGAATTAAAAGAGATGGTGATGATGATGAATTCTGATGCAGAATAAAGTACATTCCAGGACACTCAGGTAAACTGCAAGCAGTTCACTGGGACATCATCCCAGGTGTGTTTAGGACTGCAGGTTTGTTTAGCAACCAGCGCTAGCACTTCCTACGCGTCCTGACCTAGCCCTCGCTGGAAAACAATATCTTAAAATAGTTTTAAAATGCGGGCTTTTTTAAAAAAAGAGAGAAAATGTTTTGAGACATAGCATTTTGAGGGAAATACATATTTAAACACAGATTCCCATGCAGATTTTAAAAAAGAAAATATTTCAGATTAAGGCAAAGATGTGATTGAACAGACTGATGGGTGAACATGTGAAGAGATGGTTGCTGGATATATTATGTAACCATCCCTAGTTAAGTAACCAATTTAAATATGAATTTTGAGAGGTTGTTTCTTTTAAAAATCATGGGTTATTGCAGAAATACAATGGAACAGAATTAAAAATGTGGGAAACATGCCAAAGTGTCCCAGAATGGAAATCACTAAGCATATCTCTCCAATCCTCCAATCTTTCCCCCTACCTACTAACTCAGACCCTCCCTCGACAACATGAACTAATAGATAAACCTCCCAGCTTCAGAGCTCCCAGCACAAACCCAAAAGGGACTGACAAAGGCTACCTTTAAACATATGCCTCTAAACATATGCTTCTGCTTCCCTAGAAAATATCTGTGTACGTTTATTTGTGTGCATGCATTCAAAGGGTGCGTGGTTGGATCCTTGGCTTGTGGGCCAGATCCTGCCCAGAGCCAGGATTCCTCAGGCTTTGGATCCCTTCACACCCCTCAGCAAGGAGCAGATGAAGAGGAAAAGTGCTTTGATGTTGTGCAAAGTTTGCGATTGCACTTCCTCCCTCCACAAGAATTTCAAAGCAGAGAAGTCAGCAGAGAAGTAGACCTGTTCTTTGCAAATATGCAATAAGCCGTTTTCAATTGCATGCATGGAGTTTTCGAGATGCAATTGCATTTTTGAAGTTCGAGACTCGCAATAGCTGCAGGGCAGCGTTTGCAGTTCAGCATTGATGCTATTTTCATCCTTCGGCTGAATTTATTGAGCCCTTTTTGCCTTTTACATAGGCAGAGGTGAACCTTGGCATCTCCAATATCAGTGACGCCCTATGTGACACCAAAATTTGGCCCCTTTTGCCGACGGCACCGGCCACGCTCCCCTAGATCTGCCTAAAAGGTGATGGAAAGAACTCCTCCTACCCCTTCAAACTTTATATATATATAAAAGATGCCTGTAAAGAACATGGAAGGTGCAACTTGAATGGGGTTACCAAGAATTAAACTTATGCCTATGTTTCCATGGGAAAGGGGTCCTTATGCAAAGAGTGTGTGATTGTGTGTGGACGTGTCCCAGTCTTCCTCTGGGTCTGGTCCTGGCTACTGAAATGTGGCCCCAACTGCTTTACACAGGAGTAATGTTCACTATGGCCACTTCTTGGTCACTTCTACCCCTTTGCACCAGTCCAGTTCTGCAGCTGGGAACTCTGGCTCAGAGTCTTGAGTTTGAGACTGCCAAGGAGGGAGTTTTCTCTTTGCTCTTGAAAGCTAGCCCATATGACATCCCCCCAAGTTCAGCTTCTGCCCTAAACCTCCACATTGCATTGTATTCCCATAATTACAGTTTGAACACCTCCCAACCTTTCAGAGCCTAGGACTTGCCGATCAGAAGGTCGGCGGTTCGAATCCCCATGACGGAGTGAGCTCCCGTTGCTCGGTCCCTGCTCCTGCCAACCTAACAGTTCAAAAGCATGTCAAAGTGCAAGTAGAGAAATAGGTACCGCTCCGGCGGGAAGGTAAACGGCATTTCCTTGCACTGCTCTGGTTCCCCAGAAGCGGCTTAGTCATGCTGGCCACATGACCTGGAAGCTGTCCGCCGGCTCCCTCGGCCAATAAAATGAGATGAGCGCCGCAACCCCAGAGTCGGTCACGACTGGACCTAATGGTCAGGGATCCCTTTACCTTTAACCTTTCATGAGTTTTGGACCAGGCAAGGCATATCTTAGGGTTGCCATACATCTTAAATTTCCTGGACATTACTGTGGGATTCAACAGACGAAAACAGTGTCTGGGCGGAAATCGTTTTAACGTCTGGGAAAATCTGGATGTATGGCAACCCATGTCAGAAGTCCCTTAAAAAAGCTCAACAACTTTGCCAATGAAGCATTGTGCCCAGATTTTAACTTTTTGAAATCTGGCAACCCTACCATATTTGCATCTTCAGTGCAAATGTTATTCCTGAAATAGCATTGTCAAGAAACAAGCAAACCAAAAGAATAAAACAGCAAAGGACTCTTTTGAAAGATCATCATAACAATATTTTGAACATCTATATAGAAACAGCATGAAAATGCACATTTATTTTGCACATGAATATGCACAAAGAATAGCCCTGCAAGACGAATTAGGCAGGCATTCAAATGAAAATAGATAGCAATTTTTAAAAAAAGTTTCTTATACCTCCTTTTGCACCGACAGAGCGAGCCAATACCTGCCTACTTGGAAATAACTGATCCTGAGGTCAATGGAAGCTACTCCCAGATTAGTGTGAATAGCATTGCAGCCAGAATATTTTATCCTCATACATTTTGTAATCAGATCTTCCTCCCTCCCTGTTTTCCTCCCTGAAAAGTTTCCAAAACATTATCCCTTTAAGAAGTTCATAAATAACCACCCAACACCCAAAGATTTCCTATTAAAATCCTGAACATATGCTACTTAGGAAAAAAATATTTCAAAGCAAAATTAGCTGATAACGAAAGAATCCCATAAAGACCTATCTTTCCAATCATCCGGTATTTCTTTTGTAATTTCCTCAGAGATCCCGGAAAGATTTTTCCAGATGTCTCTGTTCCTTCCAGGTGGCATGTTCAACGGAATTTGGAGAACAGCCAATGATACGCTTATTCTTTTGCCTTTTCTTTTCTTTTCCTTTTTAAAATCAGGAGAGCCAAAGAACAGAAAACTCAACGACATGTTGGGAAGATCTGAAGGTAGGAAAGGAAGAAGAGATGAGCTGCTTGCCTATAGCTAATAGGGAAGGTTCTTTTGTCTTGCAAACCTTCAGAGACTCTCATTTCTCCCATCATTATCTGTTAGGATCCGGAAGCGGACAGTGTGCAGTTAAGCTATGGAACTCACTCCCACAGCAGGCAATGATGGCCACTAACTTGGATGGCTTTAAAAGAGGATTAGACACATTTATGGAGGACAGTGTTATCACTCTGCCTCCATGGTTGGAGGCAGCAACACCTCTGAATACCAGTTACTACTACTACTAATAATAATTATTTATTATTTATACCCCACCCTTCTGGCTGGGTCTCCCCAGCCACTCTGGGCAGCTTCCAACAGAATATTAAAAACAATACAGCATCAGACATTAAAAACTTCCCTAAACTGAGCCGCCTTCAGTTGTCTTTTAAAAGTAAAATAGTTGCTTATTGCCTTGACATCTGCTGGGAGGGCATTCCACAGGGCAGGTGCCACGACCGAGAAGGCCCTCTGCCTGTAACCTCACTTCTCGTAATGAGGGAACCGCCAGAAGGCCCTCGGAGCTGGACCTCAGTGTATGGGCTGGATGATGGGGGTGGAGACGCTCCTTCAGGTCTACTGGACCGAGGCTGTTTAGGGCTTTAAAGGTCAGCACCGACACTTTGAATTGTGCTCAGAAACATACTGGGAGCCAATGAAGATCTTTTAGGACCGGTGTTATGTGGTCCCAACGGCCACTCCCAGTCACCAATCTAGCTGCCGCATTCTGGATTAATTGCAGTTTCCGAATCACCTTCAAAGGTAGCCCCACGTAGAGCGCATTGCAGTAGT